GAACCCACACCGGACCCCGCCGCAGGAACCACGTGACCTGCCCCCGCCCAGCGCGGCGCTAACGAAACTCTCACCGCTGCCTGAGCCGCGCTCTGGTTCCGAACGTTCCCGCCACGCAAAGCACGCTGGGAGGGGACGGCAAGCCCCACCCACCCCGGAAGCGGCGGCTCGCGAGTGGGGGGGAGTTGTTGTGGCCGGTGCCAGGCGGTGGCTGCCGGGTCACGCGGGTCCACCCCGCTCCGTGCCGCTTGTTGGTCCCCACGCCGTTGCGCGCCGGGGAGTCTCGGCTGGGCTATGGCTGAGGTGAGGCGCGGGTGTTTCTCCCGCCCCCAACGGGCGGCGGTTGCGGTTTGGGGTGGTTGGTGGCCTGACGCGGTGTCTCCTCTGTTTCCCTCGCAGCAGCAGCAGCCGGCGGACAAGGCCGCGCTAGTCAGCGAGATCCGGCGGCGCTTCGCGGCGGAGCAGCTGCCAGGTTGGTACCTGATACCCGCCCCCCCATAAGAATAAGTCTTATGTGTTTTATTGCGAAGTCGGCAGTGAGCGATCGAGAACTGGGTCGTCAAAGTGGCTAAGATCCAGCGTCTTGGCTGCACTGGTCTGTTCCCTGAATGAGATGGATGTGAATGATTATATGTGTAGGTGGAAGGGGCATCTCTATTGGACGTGCTGCACACAGGGCGCCCTGCATCGTGTTATTAATTTCCAGGAGCATTGACACACATACTTTTTGGTCCTACAACACAGTGGCGATCTGTCGCTTTGTAGCAGACTTGAGTAATTCAGTTGAGTTGAGGCACACGGCACTGCATTGTGTGCAGGTGTATAAGCAGCAAAATGTGCATCTGCACGTGGAAAATGGCAGCGGGGTGCTTTTGAGCTAAACTGCCTTCCACGTGTTTTAAGTTCAAAAGCACGCCACTGCTATTTTCTCAGTGCTGACTTGCATTTTGCCACTTAACTGCAGGCATTGCAGTCCTGGGCACTTTTCAACACTTATATTGTGGTACTTACATGTGTAAAAATGCCCCCAGTGGGAGGATCTCAGCAACATGCCTACTTTATGGAAATGGGAGATTCCTTCCTAGTTTGTTCCTTTGGCGCTTGGCTAAGGGCAAACAAGACTTGGGGACATCTGAATTCTGAGGCGCCGGGCCTGGTTCTGCACGTAGGATGCCTGCCAACGGATTTGGGAGTATCCATTGGCCCCACGCTGAAAAGTGGAGGATACTTGTGAGTTGTAGCACTATGTATATTTTTTTGAACAGTTGAGTTTTGCTCAGTTGAGATCTGGCTCCCAACTGATTTGGCTAATTTGAGCTGGAGTATGAAAAATCCCCTCCCCCCAGCCAAAAAAAAATCTGAAGTCCCGGACTCAAGAGTTTGGGATGGAGGATGCAGCGTTTCTCAACCTATGGGTCGCAAGAATGTATGAACAAACTTTAAACATGGATTCTCCCTTAAAGGAGAAAAATGTGGGAATTAGTGGGTTACCCTTGCAGGCTGGCAGACTTCCAGCCACAAGGGGCTTTTTGGGGCTGGGGGAAGTGGGAGGAGGGCGATCTGGTAGGGAGTGCATATACATGACTGCCAGGCAGTGTAGAGAGCAGCTCTCACAGCTCCCCTCAGGTAACCCTGAGGGGTGGCAGGAGGCACGTGTCCCCTGCCCACATACCCACTCCCTGCCCCACTCACTGGGAAGTGGAGCCTGGGGGTGGGAGACAGTGGATCTGGAGTGAGGGGCCAGGGGTCTGTTTTCCATTTAAATGATTATTATTCACAAGTGTTTGCAAACGGGTTCTGGTGCAAAAAAGGTTGAGAACCTCTGACCTAGTCCAACTTCCAGCTTGAGACGGGAAAGATCTTGTGACCCATACGGCTTTACTAACTATGAGGGAGGTATAACTTACTCACTTTGATTCCTTGAGCCTTGCACCTCCTGCCATCTGGGGGCCCCAGTGTGCGTGGCACTGCTCACCCAGGCATGAGGTGCTTGTGAGTTTTCAACACATACAGGCTGTTGTAATCCCAATTCACTTCAAAATGTGGAAATTTCCAGGTGTGAATATTTGACCGGACACAATAGCTGGCCTTCTTTTCAGACTTGATGGACTTCAACTTAGAGGGAAAATGCATGCTGTTTCAGTCACCCAACATTCAGCAGCATGATATAATATTGTTATGTTTTCTAAGACAATGTATCTTCCAAGAGTAAATATGCTTTAATGGGATATCAGTCATGATTTAGATTCCATGTAGGTAGTAGCAGCTCTCCTTCCTTTTCAGCAGTTTCAGTGCAAACAAGTGAACAGAAGCATTCAGTTGTTCAACATAACTGTTCCACCTGAAATGTACCTCTTTCATGCATAGGCCTCAAGCCTGCAAACCTGTCCTTGAACTTGACTTCAGTGGGTATTTCTGTGATACAGAACGTGCATATTTGTAATCCATAATGAGAATTATTACAGATAATTCTTGATCATGATTTTTCCTTATCCAAGATTTCTCTTCATTTAAGATTTCATGTGTGAAACTCAAACTTTTTTTGCTTGCATAACCTAGGAAAACCTTAGAATGCTTCATCTTGTTCCTGTATTTGCTAAACATGCTGCCTCCAAAGAATAAGAAGCAGTCTTTGGTATGTGTTTTCCCACACTGCCTATGTGAGAACAGCAACAGGTCTTTCTTTTTCTTTCTTTAGGTCTGGCAATAGGTGATCCAAGATCATACATCTTGGAAGAACAAATCTGGTTCATGCTTAGAGGGTAAATATGGAGGCCTGTATCCTGTGTAAAAACAAACAAGAAAACCAACCAAAACAAACAAAAGGATTAGGATTTTTATTTTATATTATAATATACATATATAATGGTGTTTTGTTTTAATAATGGAAAAATGTGGATTTTGGGTTATTTTTTTTTTTTAATACAAAAAGTGGGGATTTTTTTTGTATTGGAGAAAACCAGGATCCCTGATCACGAAAGTGTACGTGTGTGCGTGCATATGTTTGCAAAAACAATCCATCTCTTTAAGCAAAGGGCTTATTAAATATACTATACCAACAATAAAAAGGGGGGAAAGTGGTGCTTGGAGTCCTTTTTAACAGATCTAGTTGAAAGTTCAAGTTTCTTATGAAAATAATCCAAATTAAGGAGAACCACCCTCTAGTGATACTTTTTTTTAAGCTAACAGGATAGCTAATCATTTCATATTTAGTTTGGTGGAGATGTACAGTTATGGATTTAATGGATTTTTATGGATTTCCTGTGATAAGTAACTTCAGAAATAAGTCTTTGGAAATTAATAATTTTATTACAAGAAACAGGGTCAGCATACAAAGCCTCCTTTTCCAGACCGTTTAGAAGAGGAGTGGTCTGGAGGAGAAAGCAGCTGAATCTGCCCTTTGAACAACAGTCAGTGATGTGCATGTTTCTCAGAAACATAGGTTGCTTGTCAGGGTGTAGGTTGTAGCTGTGTTGGTCTAAAGCAGGGGCGGGCAGTTATTTTAGGAAGAGGGCTGCTTACTGAGTTTTGGCAAGTCATTGAGGGCTGCATGATAGGCAGCCAGGGGCAGATAAATACTAATTTTCTAAATTTTTTAGGGGCCCCGCGGGCCGGATTGAATGGCTTGGTGGGCCACATCTGGCCCCTGGGCCGCATTTTGCCCACTCCTGGTCTAAGGACCTAGGCAGACAAGGTTCTTTGGGTAATCTGATATCTTTTATTAGATCGACTTAAATAGTTGGAAAGCTTGCTGAAACCTTTTTCCAACTATTTAAGTTGGACTAATAAAAGATACCAGATTCACCCAAAGAACCTTGTCTGCCTAGGTTGCTTCTATTTATTTGCGAGGTCAGAAGGAACCACTATTACTTTATTCTGTGTGTTTATCTTGTGCAAATGCATAGCTTAATCCCTCCATCAAGCCCAGGAATTTTTGGTTAAAGTTTAATCATTTAGAAAGACATTGACATTATTTAAAGATACAGCATGATTAAACGTTTACTACATCCTTTGGTAAGTTGTTCCAAAGATTAATTATGCCTACCATTTTAAAATTTGCACCTTTTCCCAGTTTTAATGTGTTTAGCTTCAATTTCCAGCTCTGAGATATTGTCCTTGTTCACATTACAAAGTGCCAGTTGAACTACATCTGGTAGGTATGTTAGAAGATTATACTTTGTGGCCACCTGAGCTTGACAGAAGGTGGCTCCTGTCAGATGAACTTTTGTTGTTTGGGAAAGCTGTTTTGCACTGGCCATAGGAAAAAAATCTGTCAGCAGACTTGTGTCTCTACCATGAAAGCCAGCAGCCTTAGCACTGCTGCTGTAGTAATGGCAGTAACTCAGTAGCATAGACAACCCTTGTTGCACTTTTACCAGGTAGATTAAAAAAAAGTCTTTTATTGTTCATTTTATCTTCCCTTATTTATGTACTAGATATACACCTACAAGTCACCTTTTATTTGATACTGGTATAAGCTAAATGATTTGAACTCCCTTAAATTGCTCACATTTATTTTCTTCTTGTCCTTGAATCATTCTTGTGGCTCTTCTTTTAAACCTCTCCAATGTTTCAGAGAGAGTGTGTGTTTAAGTGTCACAGCCAGAACTGGACACACTGTTCCAAAAGTCATCTCACTTCTTTCCTAGAAGAGGTAAAGTAGATTGCCTTTTCTTATTCAGTGTTTCCTAGCTGGAACTTGAAGTTGTCTTTTGGCTACAGTTTATGTTCATTTAGCTGTCATCCTTGATTCCTAATCTGCTGTGTTTTTTTTACAGGATACAGACCTTCATATTTATCCTCTAAGTATGGTCTAAATTTGTTCTTCCAAGATGTATAAGCTTGGGTCACTTGTTGCTAGACCTAAAGAAAGACCTGCTGCTGTTCATACAAGGCAGTGTGGTTAAACACATACCAAAGACTGCTTCTTATTTCTTGTAGGCAGCACTTGGGTAAAGAGAAATATTCTAAATCTGTTACTTAACAAATAATGTCCAAGTTGTCAGAGACAAGGTTGGTCAACTCATCTGAAACCTTTCAGGCTTTTTTCTTTCAACAGAAAAAAAAATTAGGTTCCAAAAATAGAAATCTGAAGTTATAATACTGAGTGTTGGATCTTCCTCAAAACTGTGCTGCTGAAGGGAGTGTGTTAAAATTTACTAGTAGATTTAAGCCCTTTAATTCTTTCTGGGAACTCTTTATCCTTCCAGTAATGGAGTGGAATTGCTTTAAGCAAGAGATTTTGAAGGCTAGTGAAAACAGCTTTTTACATTATAGTCAGGTACCGCTGTGTCCTTTAGAAGCCTTGTTCTCTCATAACTAGTTTTATCTTGTTGCTTCCAATTTTCTAAAATAATAAAGGGGATGTAAGTACCTGTAGGTTGTTGTGGATTTGAGAAGATCAAACATATATTCTGAAATCTATTTTCCAAACTTAAAACAATTAAATCCCATTATATGCCTTCCCTAAGG